CACACACACACACACACACACACACACACACACACACACATTTTCGGTAGTGCTTCGGTGGTGGTACCGCGGTATACGAGTCGGTGGCGCGTATTATTGAAGCTCGACCAAAACGGGGGATGGGTGAAATTACAATTTTTTAGTACCTATACAACTATACAATACTACAGCACACCCGGATATACCGTGAAGAGCAGCTGGGTGCCCCCGCCCGCAATAAAGTTCTCGAATTTTCGTTTTGAACAGTTATTGTTACATTCGTTTTTATTTTATTCGACGCTGCTATATATTTGATATTAGTTTGTAAAATGTATAATTTGAAGAATGAGTGCATAAAAAAAAATTCCCGGGGGCGCTACACGAGGCGATTTACCGAACATCCTCTGCCTGCACCGCCAATCAAATATGCGGTTCTGCATTGGCGTGCGTATAAAGTAGTTGTAGAGAATAAAAATTCAACCCCGGGAAAGCTGCGGTTTTCGAAATTCTTCTCTTTTCGGAGATTACCATATTTTAGAGAGTGTCGAGTTTCGTTCTCGTCGCAAGTACACGTCAAGTCGAATACGAGTTAACTGCAGCTGCATGGTCAACAAATATTACTTATGCGAGATTATTCATTTGTCGTAAGACGCTCATCACATTAGAAAACCCTGCAGTTTTTGAAAATATTTATTTTACATAATTTTAAGTAGTAAACCAATATATTTTACTATATATCGCTATCATTTTTAATTTTTTTATTTTCTGACTACAATAAAATATATTAATTCATTTTCCAGAGCATAAATGCGTTTTTAATGTAGTTCAATGCTTAGTTGGACCAACATTTTGAGGGATACCCGACCGGCACCATCATTACACCCATATAAATTTTAAACACGTCTTATAAATCATAAGCTATAGTAGTCCAAAATTTGATATTAATACATTAACGCACTCCAATACAAATTAAGCTTTGTTCTAGGAATTAAAGAAAAATTAAAAACACATTTTTCCAATACTCAAAAACGTTGGTGTTGTCTCTAGTAATAAGTGCCCTTTGCGTAAAATGGATATGGATCACCCTGTACAATATAATAAAGTTATAGATCGTGATGAAACCAAATATTATATACCTACTGGCAAATCAATAATGAGCAAATATTTATACATTATTTATTTACTGGCGTATACTGCAGTTAGATGACTGTTGTGCATTTTGCATTGTTTTTTTTTTTGTAATTAAACTCGCTCGGGTACAACCGCGAAAGATAAAAATATATAATATTATACACGCGTGTCGACTCTGCGGCGGTGCGATTATAGTTTTTACTGCAGTTTACGACACTATACATACGCAAATTATTATCTCTGCACGGTGTCGTTGTTAATTTAATTAAAATTAAAATGTTTTCCACGACGAAAATGATAACGATGTATTATAAGATACGCAAAGTGTACGCGGATTACGTCGCAGCGGTGTTGGTTTATATAATACATGTGCTTAAATTATATACAGAGTGTTTCTGCTCCACGGAGATATTCAAACGTAATTTTAATATTATTAAAATGTCAATTCTACCAACATACCTATATACAATAGATTTGAGATCTAAGCGGCGGATCGCACGCCAATTACATGATAATATATGCTTAGATCAGTTAACTACAGAAATCTTCTTCCTCTGATAAGTGATAACACATATGTATATCATACTATATACTGTTTGACCATAATCAATACATATTCAAATACCTAAAATAGCATTATTATTAATATTATATAGTTATATACCTATGTATATGTTTGGGTACACTGCATGTCTATCGATGACGAATGATAATACTCATATCAATTTAATAATAATTTTCGATTCCATTTTAGATTGAAATATGTCCATTTTGACTACAAACCCACTGGTGTCTAGACTAGGCAATATCGTTGTTACCCGGTTAACGAGGTGAGTATATCATAATTAATTTGTGATATCATATAGATGAATATTTGACGGATTTTTTATAGACTACTCGAGTTGCAGCTTGAAATCTGTAATATAAGAATGTATCTAAAAATGACTCTTAACGGTCCCAGGACAAACCCTCATGGTTGAAGATATTCGTTTTGAAACGTTCCGACAGTCACTGTCGAATTTCTTAATACGTTTAGCAAAACTGTTGAGAAAATCGAAAGATTACTTCTTCAAAAAACCGGGTTATCACCACTTATCATATAGATATTATAGATAACAGATAAATCAATGTGCTGAAAGCAACATTCCAAACATTTTTTTTTGTCCAAACAACTTTGATCAAAAAAAAAAAAATCGCAGAAAAAAAAATCACTGCATCGAAATATTTGGCTATGTAGTCTGCAGAACGTGAGATAAACCTTAGAAAACAAATCATAAAAGAGAAAAATATAATTTTATCACATTAATCAAATAATCGTCTGATTTTGTTTCTGCTGTTGCTCGGCAATACTGTGTCATGCAAGATTCGAATATACAATAACATTATAACGATCATTCTAGTGATAATAATAATATAGCTGTTATTTTTAATAATATTTTACTAATACTTCGTGTTGTTTTGACTGTAATATTATGCAGACGAGAATAATTTTAAACGAATCGACTGTGATCGATTTCTTGTATTATGTTCGGGAACTTTGACGCGGCAGTAAAGCTTATGCAACTCTTCTCCCTTATCGTCGTCCTCGTTGTTGTAGCCGCTGCCGCCGAATTAGAATCGCAACAGTCCGTCGAAACCGGTGGCGGCAGGACGTCCATCGCGTCCTCTTTCCTGTCGGAGATCTCCACCCAATATCCGTATTTAGTGGGACTGACCATGGGCGGAAAATTCGACCACACGAACCAGCAGACCACCATCTGCACAGGAACCCTTTTATCTCCGGTTTTGGTTCTATCGTCGGCATATTGTACATCGCGTCTGACAGCCATGATCAAGGAGAGTCCGGAAGTGACTACACTACTCGTACGCGACGATAAAAGTGACAAATGATAATATTTTCCATGAATAACCTTATGGTTATAGATGAAACAGACACGACCATACTTTATTGTTTTATCGAGTACAACGGTATAATATTTTACAGGATGATTCACCAAGCACGATCCCTACCGGATACAATCTTCAAATTGTATAACAAGTCCAAATGTTATAAAAAATTTGATCCTTCAAGTATACTTAAAAGTTCAATAGTCATAATTTAAATTTTAAATAAATACATTATTCAAGGATGAAATGGGGTGAGGATGCTTAGTGAACCATTATGTAATATGTGTAATGTATAGAAACATTGTAGGTGTTGTGAAACATTTTAGGTATACCTACTAAGATACTAAGACCTATTGTACGAGTTTGAATTGCTTGGCATATTCGACTAATCTAATTAATAAACAGTTATCTCGTCTTTATTCCGTAAATGCTCTCAGCCGAATAGCTTGTATAATATACTACACTAAAATAATAACATGTTTGTTTCTTTATTTTCCAAATAAATCCACCAAATCCATTGAGGTCACAGTTTTTTTATTTATCACAATTTGATTTATTCCTTATTTTTTCTAATTTTTTTCTTTATTTTTTTGTTTGTACGTCTGTACAAAGTATGCAAACTATTATGTCAGTATTTTTTGTTGTTGCTGTCTTACTGATTTCGAAATATCTATGACAAGTCACCTTATATCCATAAAGTTTTGAACCTTATCCGGGTACAGGGTGAACCGCCAACTAATAGTTCCAGTAGCATTGTTCGGTCAGTATGAATTCGCGCAGAAAACAAGAGGGATCATCATTTGAATAAAATAGATTTTTGTATCACTAAGTGTATTACAGAGTATTATTTAAAAATCTTAAAAATCTGATTTTGAATAATTAAAGAAAATATTAAGGAGATAAACGTACTTTTTCATTACCATGTATATTGTATATAGTTTTTGTGTATTATTAAGACATTGAACCACAAAACAACTGTTTGAAAATAACATTTCTTCGAGACCGAATGATAGTGTCTCACTTAGGTCATACGTAGGTGAGTATGTTAAGTGCTACTGAAACTACAACGGTGATAAACCCTACACCCACCCCCGTCATACCAACAATTCCATTATATTATGTCCACGCGTTTTCTCGCAAAAGGATATGTGCATTTCCGACTACGATCGTCTTTCTTCCGACAGGCATATTGGAAGACACCCACTAACTCTGTCAAGTACCACCGGGCCTCGGTTGTTTACACCCATCCGTCATACGACAAAGCCACACGGAAGTTCGACTTATCGCTGATAAAGGTGAGGGCTTGATTAACGATCCGTGTAAAAGATCATTCTTATTGTATTGGTTTATCACCAAGTTTAACACTAAATTCATAAAAAAATTTAATATAATGGTATGACACTTATAACAGCTCAAGAAACCATTCAAACAAGTTGAGCGTTTCGTCAGTTTGTCGTCTAAAACGTTGAAAAGCGACGTCGAACTGAGTTGCGTAGTTGTAGGGATCGGTGCACCCCATGAACGCGGTTACAAGGTGCCGGTCCGTGTCAAGTACGGTCCTACCGCTTGCCGGATTCCTAAATCTAAGTGAGCTAGATAAACTGTAGATTTACCGCAACTTCCGACCGATCCTGTATACTGTAGTCTGTAAATCTAAAATTCTCCGACCAGAACAAGCTAGACGACTTATATTGTTTATATTGAGTACTAACAACCCTCAATTTATTACAATAAAAACACGTGTGGAAAAAAGTGAATAGACGATCTATACTAGTTTAAGTCGTTTAAGATGATGACCACGAAGTTCACAATTTAAAGATGTTCTATTACGAAAAATTCCAGTTTTTTGGCCTATTGCTTTAATCTCTATCAGTGTATCTCTTCTATATCCAAATCTCGCATTCTCCGAGGTAAGTTCAGTAGAGTGGTTGCTTAGTTCTAGGACATTCTTTAAATCACCCAAGGTTCTGTGTCACATACGTCTTATGTGTCCTATCTTTGAAAAAAGTAGCTTCATCTGGGATTCCTTTACTGCATATGCAAGTGCTCTGGATAAAATAATTAAAGACAAATCCTAGGTGACTCCTAGACTCTAGAAACTACAGGTACCCCCGCGGTTTCCCCTGGCCAATGTCTTCAGAATATCTCAGGTATTTTAGTACTTATGTTTTAAAATACACTTCACTTGGTCACCTGTCCATTTCTATATTATTTATTCTAATGTAAACTCTTCTTATTTGTTTAATGCATACCGTAAACGACGACCACAATACGTCACTCTGTATTCTACTTGTTTATTGCACAACAAACTTAGAATTTTGGACCAAATAAACAAACTTAAATAATTTGTAATTCACGTGTTGTAATAAACAATGAGAGTGGATGATACAGGATGACGTTTCCCACGCCGTTTCAGCCCCGGTCTTAAGTACGTGATCGGATTCACTTGGGCGGATTTCCTATGTGCCGAGACTGTAGGTCCGACAGCCAAACGATTACCATGTGACCAAGCCGATCCACTGGTGTGCTTCGGTGGTCGGCATCAGTATGGAATATTCAGCTACGGGTATGATGGGACAGGCGCGTCTCCAGCGACGGAGGCGACCGAGTGCGGTGATCCAGCCATTCAGGGTAGACACCTGTTTGTCAACAGGAACGCTGCATGGATCGCCGAGATTATGGCACACCACGTTGGTGACTCAAAGCAGATAGACGTTGATGAGAAGACGACGGCGACGAGCCTTCGCCCCACGCGGCCACGGCTTACAACCACCACAACTTCGGAGGCATTACCAAAAGTCACCTGTACCGACCACCTAGAAGGCAACTATCCGTATCTGGTGTACTTGGAAGGCATGCCCGATGAACCGGTGTGCGGCGGTACTCTTGTATCACCTCGGCACGTGCTCACGACCGCTTACTGCACGACAAGGATGACTGAAATCATGGTATGAACCGTATACCACTATAATACACGTCAGGTGACCAGAAACCATCAACTGTAGACTTTAGGGGTAAATTACAGTACCTACCACATATTATAGAAGTACCTATTACTTATTAAGCCACCACATTTAATATATAATATGGTTCTACCCAAAATGTATGTAGTCGACGTAAAGGAATTCGACAAAAACGAAATTAGTATCAATGAAATACAGATTGAATTAGGCACTACGCCTTCATGGCTGTCTTAATGATTTTAAATATGAACACGATTAGCATAAGGGGAAAATGTCGACTTCATAACCAAGCCAATGAACATAATAGGAAAATTCAAAAACAAAAAATCAAATTTGTGATCATAATATTATGAGTTATAATAATAGGTAAATCTTCATTGGATTATATTTTATTTAAAGAATAATAGAGCATTATCTCGAAAATATTCTCTACTTCAAATATTTTGCAATTGGTACTTAAACTTAAAACTTTAATTTTAAACCTAAATCCTAGACACACAATAGTTTTGGTGTTTCGATTTTTTGTAGTTAATTTTGCTTCGTAGCTTATTAGAATGTCAGACCACGTCATATAGGCTGTCGTCCGCCAGTATCAAGGTTAGGTTAGGTTATGTCAATACATATAACTTTCCATTCGAAACCCCGTTTTTTTGGTAATTTTTTTATATTTATATTTTTGTGTTTCGCTGCAGGTGACCGTTACGACATACCATCGACAACGCACGATTGCAAGCCTCGTGTATATACATCCGGACTTCAACTCGTACACGCTGGCCGCGGACATTAGCATCGTAGTCGTAAGTCTGCTTCTTAGCACTTGTTATTGATCCCGATATACTATTAATAAAATCATGTTTATCTTCTAAGTTACTTGAACCGTTAAACGTGACCAGATACGCACAGCTGCCGGATATTGTCATCAGACGGACTGACGGTGACTACAACAAGACTGCAAAGGAGCTGGCCTGCGCGGTGGTGTCGGCGAGCAGACGACTGACACCCTATCATTACGTCCAAGTCAATGTCAAGTACGGGCCCAAAGCTTGTCAGGAATCATTGGAGTGAGTACATAGGTCATGTTATTATTATGAATTGATATCAAGCGAATCGCGGGCGAATCATCATGACATAACTCTCGATAAAAACCACAGGACTTTATTTTTCTGTTTGTTGTAAAATCCTATAGTGCAAAAAATATGGTACTGTTTTAATTGGATAATCGTTGATATCCGTTATGAGCTTCGTTCAATATCAAATTCAGGCCCAAATTACTTGTCGGGTTATCATTCCTATGCCCTATGCATATTATTATTTATTATTAGATGCGAATCGCGGGCGTATACTGACGCATAAATAGTGTATAAACTCACAATAAAAACTGCCAGACGTTTTTAAATATCTGTTCGTTATGGAGTCCGAAGAGTATAATACTATTTTAATGAAATACAGTTTTCCAAATATTATAGATTAAATTTTTATATTATACACCATTTTTAACATATTCCAACCCATCGCAGAGATGTACTCAATGGCCAATTCATATGGGTTAAAAACATGTACCTTTATAATATATGTTTGTAGGCGGTCTAGCGTACCTATTATTTGTTTATTAAACAACATAGCAGGCCGAATTTAATCGTGGTAAATTTATTGTTGTATACCCGGCAGTTTGGAAATTCAGACGACCGTCAACAAGACTTGGCACGAATTTATTTGCGGAACTATGAATCATCAATTTCTAGACGTCACGGGAGATCCGTTAATCTGCGATGGATTTCAATACGGCATAGTCAGTCACACATATCGGACTACGGAGCAGGCCTCCGAAACCGGAAGTACCGATCAAGTGCGTTTCTTGGTAATCAAAAACTACAGAGAATGGATTGACCAAGTGATCACTGCCGATAATCAATTGAGCACCGTCGACGGTCGTGCGAATGCATCGCCAGGACTCGAGTTCGCCCTGGTCCTGATGACTGTCGTTTTCCAATTATTGTCACAGTTTAGGTGGGTAGTGTATTCGACAACGAGAACTATACATAGCTGATGGTCAGAATGTATAAACGCTAATGTGTAATATTGTTGAACTAACTGAGGACTAATTTCATACGGATTTTTTTTCTGAACCGTTACTAAGGGTTCATAAGCGTCACTAACGCTTATACTTCCTTCCATCAACCAACACAATCGTTAATTGATAACAGACACGCATTTTATACAAACATATTATAACAATATCTGAGGGGCTCTAACCCTTCTGATTCTCCTTTGGCTCCCAACATGTCTTAGTTCTGAAGATTGGCATGGTGGCCGTCTTTGCTCCATGTATTTTTTTTTCACCATTGTGGATGATTGTCTAGTTTTCTTTTCATATCTGCTTTAGCCCCACAGTACCCTCTTGTTCTAAACTGGTTTAAATCGGCATTGCTACATATCTTCTTAGGGTATGCCAAGAGCACATTTCGAAAACCGTGTGATGTGCGTCACTCTTCTTGTAGACGCTGGTGACTCAGGACAAACCTGTGTAGATCCGCTGGAAAACATTCGTGCCCGAATTGTTTTTGGGTAAGGTATGTTCTACTTGTCGTGGAGATAGTTAACTATGGGCCAATATCATTTTGCATTCATATTAGTGTTTGATAAATTTCAAAGTATTTAAAACCGTAAAAAATGTTATTTTATTAAATTGTTATCAAATGCATACAACGTCATTCGTGTGTATAATTGTTTATCAATTTGATTTTCACTAAGGTATAGAATATAGATACACGTGAGTTCTTACCACGTAAGTAGTAGGTAAGTATTTGCAATCACATAGGTCATGATATGAGTTATAACACTATAACTCTAATGCTCTACATAGCAATCAGATAATACATATTTTATTTAAATATTTTAAACGTTTTGGAATAGCACAATTCATTTTTTTCTGATCTCGTTTAATCTTTTACCAATTGAAAGCATTCCTACTCTCGTTATTTAGCTTCTTTTAATGTATTAAGGGTTATATTTTTCTTAGATTATACCATAGGTCCATAAACTATATTCATAAATATCATTATGATATTACATTCCTGAAGAAAAAGTTCCAACTGAAAAATTGAAACTGTTTACTAATTAATAAAGCATTTTAGTAATAATAAGAATGAAATAAAACACGTATATCATACACGCATATATATATACACACATACAACTATGCAAGACATAAAACCATTTTATAAAAAAAATTGATATTCGTAATCGTGGCAATAAATTAGGGCAAACTATGGGCAGATCCGACATTTGTTAGATTGTTTCTATTCATATAATCATGTATTGAATAGAATATGCTTGAAAAATCTCTACTCTATCTGACTAATGGATAATATATTATGGGTTATGGAATATAGTTAAAACAAAATTGCTTACAAGATAAATTGGCTATAATATACAGTTTTAACTAAACAAAACGTACGGTTAGTTACGAATTTTGTATTAGTTCTATTGTCTTTATGTTGTTGATCTCTGAAATATCTAATCAAACATTCCCATAAAACTATTGTTGACCTCGACTATAACAATTTTCAGTGCCACTAGCACATAGAATATATAGCACTAAGATGACAAACATTTTTTTATTGTAAATAAAATAAATTTTAAAAATATAACACTGTTAAAACTTGATATTTTAAAATTGTTATAGGTACCTATAATTTACCGTAATATGAACATTTGGTATTTACCATGTATCTACTACTATTGTATAGCGATGCAACTATTAATCTCAGGAAACAAAACCCGTTGCACATTTCAACAGGTGAAAAATTACATATTACAACAATGCAAAAATGTCTGTGGAATAGAATTGTTTGGCAACGGTACGTAATACAAGGCAAAACGTTGAAGCTTAACCGTTTAAAAAGTTTAAAAGTTTTAATTGTTTATTCTTTTAATTGTTTTTATATTAATGCTCATCGTTAAGAGTATCGGATAAATATATCATCCAACTATTATTATTTAATTTTAAAATGTATGTATAAAACGATTCTTACGCAATTTTTAGTAAACCAAAGAATGTATGGTTTTACCGAAATAGGACAAAAAAATAAAACAAAATAATGAAAGTCATAATACAGATTGTTAATGTAATTTGTTTGTAGAATAATGCACCTGATTAAAAACAGAAATAAAAAAAAATTCCCAATAATAAATTTCAAATTACTTATATCAATCGTTTCGAGATTGAGAATCTGTGGTAATAACTAATAACAGTCTTGTCAGCTGCAGTGTATTTAATACAAGACATATTTTAACAACTTAATATATAATATCAGGGGTGGGTAAACCGCAGTTCGGAAGATCCAAAACATTTTTACTAATATAATAATGGGCTTATAATTTTTTGTTTTTAATTCTGTTAAATCTGTACAACTAGATTTGTTTGTTGTAGCTATTCCCATGCTTCCATTTCGCAAACAATTCTTCTAGGTTTTTTTGATTTAATTTATTCGTAGCTTTCAATATTTGGGTCATGTATTCTTCCCTTGGTCTTCCTCTTTCAACGTGTCTTTCAACACAACCTTCAATTATTGTCTTTAATAGGCTCTCATATTATCCTGACGTGTTCTATCATCATAAGATGATAACTCTTCTGGTTTGAATACTTTTCGATAAATGTCGTTTTTCTTTTATCGTGTCTAGTAACTCCTTATTCTTCACACTCGGTAGTATTATACCTATTGTGAAAATAAAATTATCTTATACAAAATTCAATCCGTCAATTTCATACGCTGTTTTACGTTGTTTCACATTCTACACATTTTATTTACTGTGATAATATTGAAAACTTTTTTTCTTCCACTTAGTTCTCACATGTTTTTTTCAGTAACTATAATATTATACTTTGCGACTCGCGACTAGGCTATCCACCCTTGATATATTATATTATTATTATACCTCGGTAACAGAAAATATTATTATTTTCAAGCAGCGGACGGACCTTCAATGAAAAACAATAGCATAATATTTAGCTGATACTAGATGAGTTCCTACGAAACCATATATATATGTTATAACGAAACACATGTAGATTAATAATAATAATTTTAATTATTTATTATTATTATTACTATGAAATTGGTCCCGGGCGATTTGTCACGCACCGCCCGCAGATAAGCGAGCGACCGTTCGCCCGCCCCCGACGACAAATCATCCTAATATCATGGTATATCGTGTGTGCCTGTTTTACCGGACATTCACGAAATCGGTCGGATAACGATCGACTCGACTGACGGTTTTTGGCGTACACGTAACATAATATTTTAACGTATATTTATGTGCCTAAAATCTAAATAATGCGTACAATAATTATTATTGATGCGCTTTTCGATAGATTTTCGAATAGCGTAATATACATAGTATAAATTATAAGCTGCACAGTACCTATATCATATAGGTATATGTAATAATAATATGCGTAACATTTTACGAAAATATTTTCCACTTTTCCTTCGATAGTGCAGTTAATTATAATATGATTTTCGGAATTTTCAAATAATATGCTTCAAGATCATATTATTTTATTAATTCTTGATTTACTACTTAAGGTCTATATAGGAGCGTTCGATTTAGGTCTAAACTTCTGTTTTTCAAACGAGAAAACCTCTCTCGTTTCATACAGTAATCCATTTTCTGAACTTTTTGACGCATTCAAATCAAAATTCAAACAAGTAGTTTTTGAATATGTTTTTTACTCTGTATTTTGAAATTAATAGGTCCATGATAGTGGGTAGAGATGGAGGGGGGGCTATGGTGCATTTCAAATTGTATTGATGGATATTAATCCATTCAATGTCTTGAATCATTTTTTAATTTATAAAAATGGTTCAAGACGTTTTATAAATAATAGATGAATACAGAATAATAGAGTAATTTTTCTTATTTTTGTACAACCATTTTTAAGGGCTCCTATTCTCAGTATAATACAGATCAGAATACTTAATACTACGCTATTTTGTTAATTAACTAAATCTTTCACGCAGATTAAGCATAATTCATATTTTGACTCAACATAAATAAACGTATAAACTTAAATAGGAAATAAAATTCTCGTTTTAAAATATCCAAAAAAACATATTTCAATATTTTTCTCTTGAAACCATCCACATCCCAAAGGCATTGTTATTATTAAACTCTTCCTATAAATATATTGCGTTACCTGCACCTGTGAGTGGCCATCGCCGGGTACACATAGCAAATACTAAGGATGCCAAAAAAAATATATTATATAGATCGACGAAATGGGTTTCTATCCTGTTATTGTTTTTTTTCTTTCACCTGACGTAGCTCCAAAACAACCATTTGCGATTTTAACATATACCTACATGTATAAGGACGAAATTTGTATTGCGTGGCCTTATTTTGGCTTCCTGCTATATATACGTACAACCTTTGCACGTGTTAAATATTTATGCGATTTTTTCTTTACCGTAACGGACTTACCGCGTGGAGCCGTGGACTTCTACCTCACACAATGTTTGGAAATTTACTTTAAAAAATACATTTTTCCCCTTTTTTCGTTCATCACTTGTGGAAATGTGACTAATTTATTCTTTTTCGTTCAGTAAAAGAAACGAATTTGTTCGTCATAAAATAATGTTTATTATTAAAAAAAAGAATATTTCCTTTTTTTTAATGTTTTTATCACAGACAATAAATATATAAAGAGCTGACTAATATAAAATAACCCAGATTCATTTTAACGTTTGCAAGTAGGATCCAATTAGGAGGTACTAGGTATTCAAATATTTGTATATTTTAAATATTATAATATTTGTAAATTAAGAAAAAAATAATTTCTCTGACAACTACTTTTTGTCTTTCTAAGGGGTCTTATTAATTGTGAAGAGTCTACTTCAATAAAAAAAAAAAGGTGGAAAAAATAAAAGAGCTCATGTCGACCAAAATAGCTTTCTTTTTTTAAACGTGTCTCAATGGAATAGTGTTCGTTGTCTTATCATTGGGATTCACAATCATAGTAATAATAATAAGTACGTACAATTATTAGGAAAACGGGAAAACTACTCAGCTTGAGTCTAACTCTACACTATATAGTAGAAAATATTATGTATTATATCATACTATTATTATTATTATTATAGTTATTCTTTTTCGTTTACTCGTGTAAGTAGGTAATAAAATATAGAGTTAGGCCAATATATCGATACAAGCATTACTTTTGTACTTCTACAGTGAAAATCGAACACAATGAACTTCAAAAAGTTTTCTGTTCAACGAATTATTTTTGAGGACCAAACCAAATTAGAACCAAATTTATCGAATTATATTATTAAACGAAATTACCTATGATACAGTTTTTTTTTTTTGTTGCTCTCCTCGAGATTCCTTATAGGTAATATACGTTTCATCGTATTATATTTATTTACATATTTCAAAGGTGTTTCCATACTTTGTCAAATTTCGATTAACAGTTGTTTGCAATGGTCATACTCTTCATTATATAGTCATGGGCGCTTCTAGAGCTACGGAGATGGATAGTTTATTTTTAGGACAAATCATTTCTAAAATCCAGTCCACGAGGTTTATTTAAATACAGCTCATGCATGTCACAAATCTTAGCTGGGAAACAGCAGCCCGCCCTTCGAATCCCACAGAAACCTCTATGATCATATAGATGATATTTTTGTTTTCATATTTTGGTTTTAATATGCTCGCGTACAAATAATGACTATAATTTTAATACATATTATATTATACTATTATAAGATATTATTTTATGTATGATATTAAATAGTCGGTATTGTTGTAATGATGCGATGGTAATTATAACAACACTGTTTTGTCTAGAAGACGTTATTACAGCAGCTACCGTAGGACCAGGCACACATTTATAGTTACTAAAACGGCTGCAACGTAGTTTGTAGATAACAGCTTATCTGTTATTAGGTGGATTTCGTTATTTTTTTTTTCACCTAGATACCTGCATTTTCAATTTACGGTAGCTAATATTTAATATAACTAAAACGCAGTATTAACGATTTATGAAATACGGAAACGACATGAAGTGCGCTTTGAATGAGCGTGCCTTGTAAAGTCAAACAAAACTTTTACACGCGAAACCGCTTTTCAAAAACAACTTTTGATTAGCGCAATTACAAAGCACATCATAATATCGTGTAGTCGAAACAGTCCAAAATATAATAGACGGTATGTGTGACATGATATATCGTAACACTAATATCATATTATGTACTGCGGTACGCGCGTGACCAAATATTTTTTCGACGTAATTATAAATGTATAAACTTATTTTTAGATCGAGAAACGTTTGAGCCGTATTATAATATTATGCGCATTGACGAGACGACCGCCGACGTGATCCCGGGTGTAACGCAAAAGTAATCGAAACGAGAGTGTATGTGTGTGCAAGAGAGAGAGAGAGAGAGAGAGAGAGAGAGAGAGAGTGTGTGTTTACACCGCGAAAGTCAAGTACAACAGTCGTGGCATGAATGAGTCTACAGCATTCGAATGGACTGCACGAGAATAATAATTATTGTTAGATTATAAAGGACTCGCGGATACGTTTGCTCTGCGACCAACGAAAATAATATTATTTTCTAACGCGATATTATATTACACGTCATAGGAACATGCGTTTTGTTTTGATCTATAAAACGGACGTACCTATATAAAGATACCTACCTATATAATAAGGCGTAGACCACCGGGATGGTAGAGTCGTAGATGACGCACCAAAGACAAACAATCGCGTACTTATATCTAAATACTGTTATTATTATTTTGTACTCGCGTTATACGTGCAGTCGCACACAACAACGACGATATAAACGAACGTATATATATGTTTTATAGACAATAATATAACAATAATTACTGTCGATTACTATTGTACCTCAATAATAATATGATGTACCTATTCAAATTCCGTAACGAAAGTCTCGTAGTGCCGAAACGATCAAC